CACTGTTAGAAATTTCTCAATGAATTTTAATTAACATGCAAAGGAAGCATGTGGTTATGCACGAAATTAAATGTAACGAATGATGTAAATAAAAACTAAATTACAGTAGTAATAGTCTTAAATGTGATGAACGTGTGTAATGAAATTAATGAACACATTATTATAGAAATTAATTTACACGTTAATGAAAAGTACGAGATCTGTAACTGAAAAGTAATTTATGTTAAAGACATGTAAGAAACGTAAACGTATTAAACGTTAAGCGTTAATAGTATTAGGCTTAATTAAAATATTATTAATATTCGTAAATGTAAAAGTACATTAAATTTCATTAATATATACATTAATAGTTATTTCAATTACGATTAATTAAATGTCATTTATATCCGTAAATGAAAAGTATATTAAATTTCATTACACTTAATTTTTCAGTTACTGTAAATTTAAATCTCATTAACATGTGCATTAATAGTCCTTTCAGTTACAGAGAAATTAAACTTTATTCACCAATGTACATTAAAAGTTAATGAAATTTAAGAACATTTCTAACAGTGTAGGGTTTTTATTATGACAGTATACAGTAACCACCTAATTGGTGATTGTAAAAAGATTAAATCTTTAATTACGTTTTATACACGATTAAAATAAACATAGTCTGAGTCTCATATACCCTTTGAATCACGTTACGGATTCTCCTACTTTCTGAAATAAAACACTTAAAATTTTTCTACTTTTGAAACTTAAAAATGAGATATCAAGTACGATATAGATAAAGAACTTAATAAAAAGGTCAAAGTTATTGGATGAGTTCAAGTCGGAAAAGTGCCTACACAGTTAGAAATGTTTGTGAATTTACAATATCCTTATGATAAAAATGTGCAGTAAATTTACAAACCATATAACGTTTTGCTGTGATTTCATAATATTTGTAAATTTACAATAGAAATTTGTTGTGAATTTACAAAACTGATGTGCCGCGCATGCGTATTAGAGATTTGCATATACTTTACCACAAAATGTTATTGTAATTTTACAATATAATACTGTTTAAATTTACAACACATTTTTGTTGGATAAAAACATCCAATACTTTTGGAAGTTTACAACAGAAATTTCTTACAGTGTAGGCCTGCACGCCGAGCAATTAAACATGAGTGATTATGAATTCATCTGATAAGAACCAATCATGCTCATTCGCTCGGTAAGCATGTTTAGCCGCTTTGCCGGCTTGAACTCGCTAATGACTTTGCAAAGCGGAAAATGTGGGTTCCACCCCCCTTCTCTATGGAAGACTTCATTATCAAAAAAATAAATGTAGAAAGTTGTAAATCCCTGTTTAATTTTCCATTCGAAGAGAGTAACCCAAAGCTATGTATCTAGTATTGTTGCGTTATTTTTGAAATGTTTGCTTCAACGTTCGGCTTGATAATCTAGATTTCTAGATGCACCCTAACATATGTTATATTATATTTACAATAGAATTCGTCTTTTTATTCTATTTGTATGAATCAGTTCGTATCTCTGTTCCAAATATACGAATTTAGCTGAGCTCCAAACTATGGTGTATACGTTATTATAGTTTGGATAATAGGAGCTCAATGTGTTCGACTTCATTCTTATTATTGGTATTAAAAGTATTGATATAGGAGAAAGTTCAGGAATAAAGTACAGAACTTCTATTATTTGATTTACTTGGTACAGGAACTATCTTGTCCCCAGCATGATCAACGGAGTTGCACTGTATATTGTTGAATATAAAATTATAACATTGATATTATGTTATTGTTAGTCGATGTTGATATTGTGTAGTGCATAGTTTTATTCATACATTTTATCTATCAAATCAGCATACATCGTTTGGACGACGTTCCTTTTAAGCTTTAACGTGGGCCCCAATTCGCCAGTTGGAATCGAAAAATCATGAGGAAGAATTTCGAATTTCTGTACTCTTTGAGCTTTACTTATGGCTTGCATATTTGCTCTTTTAATTGCCTTGTCGATTTCTTCATATATCTAAAAGATCAAGAGACATCTTGTAATATTTAAACATGCAGATCAAACTAACAGATACAAATTCTGCCGAACTGGCAATGTTATTTGTATTAAAATAAATTTAGTAGCACAATATTGATTCACAATCAGCATTAATCCAATATTGTTTGAATACGTTTCAATACCAATATTTAACTAATGCAGTAAATTGTTACTATAAGAGTTGTTTATTCATATTTGTTTGCTCGATTCAGACTTGAGAAATAAATTTTTCTTTATTATACTGTATTAAATAATATTATGAGTCTCTTTTAAGACTTACGGCTGTATCGCGGGAGTTTATGACTTCTGTAACTGTTTTAGCACTACTATCAATAGAATGTGCCCATTTTAATACATCTGGCGCCAGCGTATCCAACGGCGCGCCAGTCTTTTCATTCATTTTACTCTGAAGAAAACGTATTATTTAAACATTTATAATTTTAAGTTTATATTCTTTTATTTTCTCGAATTGTACCTTAAGCGTGATAAGGACCGTTAAATATTTCCTACGATCTCCAATTACCATAGCATTACTTAAATATGGTAATTCCGATAATATCGATTGTTCTATATTATACGATGTCACATTTTCCCCTCCGCTTGTGATTATAAGATCTTTTATTCTACCTGCGAATGCATAAAACATAGATATGTGTTCGGTTAAAACCGTAACAATGCTTAAAGGTGTATTCCTGAGATAATTAAAACACAAATCACAATATCAAAATATTAAAACTTTATAATGGTTTTTTAATTACATTTAAAGTTAGCGAATATATCTAAAGTTCGTACGTTTAGGCGTGATACAATAAAAAATGTCAACCATATCTGAAAGCGCAGACTTTAAACGGTATGATTTGCTAACTTTAAATGCTTATGACTCAAAAACTATTACAACCTCGTCGTTTTGGTATTGAGATTTTCGTCTCAAAATAATCTCAAGAATGTAAGCGTTGTTACAATCTTTATCGCGTACCGTGTATATTATATATACATCATAAATTTGCATAAACCATTATTTTTAATAAGTATTATTATGTAATGAGTGTTACCCTTACGGAAAAATACTATTAAGAATCAATAGTTACTATTGGTGTTCCAGTAGTTACTACTGAGACTCCAGTAGTTATTACTGAGACTCCAGCAGTTACTATTGAGGCTCCAATAGTTACTGTTATGACTCCAATAGTTTGAACTTCGGAGATCCTGAAAATAATTATTATAATAACTCCAGATTCAAGGAAAAATTGATACATAAATAAAGTAAGTAAAGTAAATAAAAATCATTTATGCATCATTATGAAATTACTGTCAGTTATGTTTTAAGTATTTATTTATGAAATTAATTCCAAATTGGATCAAACACGCATAGTATTGTACCATAAAACGTTAATTAGATTATATTTTTCATTATAACATTTGTTATATGAGATACACAACGCATGATGGAATGGGGGAAACGGTACCAAGATGATAAATGTTATAACGAAAAATATATTCTAATTTACGTTTTATGGTGCAATTGTTCGCATTTGATCCAATTTGGAATTAATTTTTTCACAAATAAATTATTAAAACCTTAACTAACAGTGATTTTTTTATAACGATGCGAATAAGGCTTTTATTCACCTTTATATCAATGTACCAATTTTTCTTTAGGTCTGGCGTTATTATAATGATTATTTTTCATTTTTACGAAGAAAAATACATAAGAAAACATAGAAAACATAGAAAAATATATAAGAAAACATATAAACAAAAATAATCCTCGAGTAGTCGCGCGAAACCTTCGAAAATTTGTGTACAATATATACTCTACTCCTTTTTATTGATCAACAGTAACTATTGACCAACAGTAACTATTGGCCAACAGTAACTATTGGCTAACAGTAACTATTAATCAACAGTAACTATTGGCCAACAGTAACTATTGGCCAACTATTAGCCAAATTACTATTGGCCATTTTACTATTTATTAATAGTTTTTTTCCATAAGGGAATAGGTGTAAAACAAATACTTACCAGTAATAAACAATTTCCCATTTGAATCTAATTTGCCAAGATCACCACTATGTAACCAACCATTTTTATCTTTGGCTTCTTCGGTTTTTTCTGGTGCATTTAAGTAACCCATAAATATATGTCGTCCACTCATACAAATCTCTCCCTCGCCGTGTTCATCTATATTGTCTAATTTTGTACATAGTCCGGGTAAAGTTCTTTCTACACCATCCATGCTAACAAATTGGAATACAATTTATTGTAAACAAAATATTTTAAACATAAATATCTTCGAAAATTCAATATAAAGAATAAAAGTAAATATAATTTACCTGTATTTGTTAATGTCAATTATTGCATGAGCTCCACATTCAGACATTCCATATGCCTCTAATAGAGGCATGTCTAAACTTAGGAAATATTTTTTAATATCGGTATTCAAGGGTGCTGCTGCGGTAACGAAGTTGTGACACTTGTTTAAACCTAATGCTGCCTTGACTTTATCGAAAACAAGCCATTTAGCAAAAACGTAGCCCCAATGTTTATAATCTATGCCATTTATTTTATTCGTGTAATAATGAAAAGCTTGTGCTTTTGCCCATTTAGCAATCCAGGTTTTTATTACGCCGTTACTATGCGCTTTCTCTTGCATTTTTTCGTATATCTTTTCCCATACTCTGGGCACCCCTATGAAAAAAGTTGGTTGTGCAACAAGTAACGTATTTATTAACGTACCCTTTAATGCACTTGAGTCCGCAAAGTATACTGTGCTCGCTAACATAATGTTTATTACGATGTCAATTAGCTGGAATTAAATATTATATAATCTCATTATGCAAATTAATAAAGACAAAGGACAATTAGTATCAAAAAAATAATGATATAATGAAAATAATGGGCATATAAAATTTAGTTGCAAAAATCTTAACATATGAAAAATGGAACGTGTTTTTTATCAATTTTATAACCTACAAATCATAATTACAGATAAACTTATTATCAATAATATTAGTCAATAGTTAAGATCTGATTTCAACTGCTCAAAAAAAGTCACGTTAACGACGTTACAAGTTCCGTGTTTCAATCGTGTGTAATTTATATACGAAAATTTGTGTTAATTGTAATTTCACGATCGAATTTTTATTTACTATACGTAAAATATATATTATGCTATTTGGAATATTTTACCTGTGCTGCTATATGAGACAGTGGCAGATAGCTAACTATAATCTCTGATTTTTCTTTTAAACGTAGCATTGACAATAATGCCCGTAGATTGAACAGAACATTATCATGGTTTAACATTACAGCTTTTGGATTTCCGACTGTTCCCGACTATAACGATTACAAATTTAAATAACAATATATTAAATACGTTATAGCAATCGCAATATGATTAACTGTGATAAATTGGACCTACCGTATATACTAAAATACAACATTCATTTACTCCTATCGTTTCTAACACAGATAGTAATTTATCCTCCGATTCTTTTTTACCTATGTCCAATAAATCGCCCCACTGGGAAAAAATAAATAATAATATGTTTCATATACTAAATAAAAAGATATAAGACAAGCATACTAATCAATTTACACTTAAGATATCCTTTTCGGTAGGTATGCCATTATATTGAACAATTGCTTTCAAGTGAGGCAAATTGTGTTTTATTTGCAAGATTTTCAGCAATTGCTTTTCATCTTCAACGACTATTATATTTGCTCGACTGTGCTCAGCGCAATATTGGCATGCCTCCGGAGAATTTGTGGTATAAATCCCTGTAGCGATTCCACTAAAAAAAAACGATTATCTATTTATTTAAAAATAAGAAAAGCTTATATCGCTTTTTAATTATCGTACAGTTATATAAATAATATATTTATATTGTGATAATATGTATATGCATGTAAATTACTATATCGTACGTGATGCTTATTTATATAGTTGTACAAACAATTAAACTCTTTTACCCAGCGTATATAGTCGCGAGTTCGGTAATGAACCATTCGGGACTATTGAATCCTATTATGCAGACGCTGTGATATCGCTCTAAACCTAACTTTAGAAACGCTTTTGCGACGATTCTTACAGTAGATTCGTATTCTCTGTAATACAAATTAACAAAATTGTATAAATTGTACAAAATTGATTGTACCACTTATCGCAGTAAATGTAATTGCTGAATTCATCGAATTTTCCTGTAAACTAGACTGGAAAGAACAGAGAAGGAATATATCTGAACAAAAACAATACCTATATTTATAATATATTTGTACCCAGTACAAATTTTTGTGTTAAATTTATCACATTTCACATGTCCCAAACGGTCCACCCAAATTTTTGTGATAATTTAACGAAAGATGAATATGTTAGAAAGTAACACAGATATTACGTAAAAAATTAACACAAGAAGCGTAATGCTTTGACACAATTTAAAAACAAATTTTAAATTGACACATGTTAAATTGACACATTTATAATGTTAAATTTAACTGAAATTACATGCTAGTTTTACATTTTTAGTTTAGACGATGCCTATGATATTTAACGCAATACATATATTTAACAGATATTTACTGTTACAAAGAGGAAATAACACAAAACATCTGTATCTTTTTACATATAAAATATGTAACTAATTGAACAGAACATATTTCTTCAATAAAATTAACATTTATAATATATTAAATCAATATTTTATTCATTTATTCTTATAATTTATGCTTTAAAACTACATTATTTTTACGTTATTTGTTTACTTACTTATAAATTGTGTTATTTTAACCAATAATAAGATTTTTTTATTCGGACCGACAAGAATTAAACACTATATAATTATTATATAAACGTATTCAGGCCTATGGCAGTCAAAGCTAGATCTTTTTTGCCTAAATAATTCCCAGTGAATTATCTATATCCTATATTTCGGCGCGCAGTTTGAATAACTACAAAAATATGATATATATATATATATATGCATGTACATATATAGGATATAGATAATACACTGGGAATTATTTAGGCAAAAAAGATCTAGCTTTGACCATCACAGGCCTGAATACGCTTATATAATACTTAGTGTATTATTTTAACACTGAGAAATGTTAAATTTAAATTTAACACAAAATATTCAAATAACACAATCGCATTATGTTAAATTAAAACTTGGATATGTTAAAAATTCATCACAAAAATTTGAATAAGGACTCGTTTCAACATAAATACAAAACGTTTTTTACTGTGCAGAAATTAGTTGTTCAAGTTTTATTATATCTACATACGTATACTAGAGGAGACTGGGATCAAAAGTAACACAGGTAAGTTCTAACACTTACATAAAAAAAACGCTATAAACAAAATACAGAACTATAAGACAGAGATAGATGTTTTATCATTTTTTATATTATAAATTTCTATCTGCTCTCAACGTTTGTGTATTTTATTTATAACATAATATTTTTTAATATAAGAGTGTTACAATTTATTCGTTTTACTTTTGACTCAAGTTTCTCTTGTTGTAATAATACTGTCCTTGTTCTGATGATAAAGGAAACAATAGCTTTGTAACTTTTTTGTACATACTGGAAAGTATACGTGGTTCTTTTGCCGTTGACATCAGGTCTAGACACCAACGCTATGTGATCAGGGTAAATCTTTGCTGTTTTAGTCAAAACTCCAGGGATTGATACGGGTTGGTATGAATTGGATTCATTGCTATCTAACTTTATTCGTACTCTACCATCGGCATTACACGTGGTATCTGCGTCCGTAAGTAGTACTTGATCGGGTCCTAAAAATATTCAAATAATCAATATTTATATATTTCTTTTATTTAAAACAATTAACAATATTATATTTATTTGAAAAGTAACATTTTACTGTTTTTATTTAAAATATAACAATTTATGAAGAATTATTAATTGCTTGATAGGAAAGAAGAAAAAAAGGCATATTTAGTCACAAGCAGAATTTATAAGTAATTGTCTACGTAAAGCAGGATAAATGACATAATGCACTAATATTTGTCTTGACAATTGCGAAAGGAAGAAATGAGAGGAACGGAGGGAGAGAGAGAGAGAGGGGGTGAGAGGGAGAGAGAGGGTGACAGGTAGAGAAGAGGGAGGAGGGGAGGGAGGAGAGTGATAGGGGGAAAGAGAGGGGGAGGGGGAGGGAGTGTAGAGGGATGGCTTGAGCGAGAGATAGAGGGAGGGGAGTGAAAGAGAAATGGGGGAGGGTCCCAATTGATAAGTTCAATCATTGTAAAAAAATTTTTTTTAATATATTGTGACAAAATTACCATCGAGGCCAGTTTCACTAAACGATGCATATCTATCCGATTGATTCATCTTCTGCAACAATTTTTACATCCAATTTGTTATTTAAATATTAAAATGAAATTTATTTTTTTACCTGATTTTAAAAATAAAGCATAACACTGCTTATTTCATGTTTTAATAACAGCCATCCAGAGATTGGGCCAGGAAGAAAATATACTAATATTAGTAATTATTAAAAAAGAAAATTTAATATACAATAGCTTTTTAAATATTATAAATTTGATTTAACAGAGGCTCTCAAAATCAATCAACAGCTATGTGAGATGTAGGCAGTTGAGAGCAAACACAGTTAGATTTAGCGTATATCTATAATTTCATACCTCAATGGTTAAATTATAACATTTATTATTACAATGATTTCTTTTTAAGTCGTCTTTAGCATGTATATCCAGTTTATAATGACATAATTTAATTACGTAGTATGTTGAGATAATTTACAAAAAAAAATTCCAGTGTTGAAATAACCTCCTTAATCAGTTATGTGACCCATAATTATCGAGTTTTTAAATTATTGTACTTGGCAGGTTGGATCTTAACAGTCACCTAACTGATTAAGGAGGTTATTTCAACATTGGAATTGTAAATTATCTCAATATACTAAGTAATTAAATTATGTAATTATAAACTGGATATACATGCTGAAGATGACTTAAAAAGAAGTCGAAACGTTCATTGTAATAATAAATGTTATAATTTAACCATTGAGGTATGAAATAGATATACGCTAAATCTAACTGCATTTGCTCTCAACTGCCTACATCTCACATAGCTGTTTTTTAAATATTGTATGCACCTTTTTTGTATGTCCATTATTAGCGCATAAGGTTTAGGGAATTGAAATCACCTAATGAATAATGCAACATATAGTCTAACAATTATATGAATAATTAATTTATTATATTATAGTTTTGAATATTTTTGGAATATTTCAATTTTTTACATCTATATGTTATCTGCGGTTTGCAATGTCGCTACAATATAATAATCAAGTTAACTCCAGAGGGGATAGACTTTTAAAGGTTATTGTAAAGACTTTTGGAAGCTGTCTCTATTTCCGATATTTGTCGGGAAATCGTCTATATTTAACTTTAAAGTACCATGTGATCAAAGACATATTAGTATAATGAATATTAAATCATTTAGTATTAAATCATTTAGTAACCGATCCCTGGTGAGAACATGTATGTGGAATCCACGTAGAATTCGCGTGTTTTACGTGGACTACGTGGATTAAAAATTTATTCACATAATATTTACGTGAATGCAATGTTGACATTTTGTTGCCAAATTGAAATAATTTTCCTCAAATCAATGTGGATTTTACGTAGACACTTCCATATATATTTCAGTACGTATAATCCACGTGGAATTACTGAAATTTAACGGGAATAAAAATAGGAAATAGTAATGTGAATTTATTTACGTGAATTCCACATTACTATTTTCTATTTTTATTCCCGTTAAATTTCATTAGTAATTCCACGTGGATTATACATACTGAAATCTATATGGAAGTGTTTACGTAGAACCCACGTTGAAATTTTGATATTTTGATAACATAGAAATAAACACGTTACAATTCACAAAAAATTTTGAGAAAGAATCATAGAATACATAAAACTTAAAATTTAATTAAATTTCATATTTTTAACTCTCTCGAGCTTATACACTGCATATAATCTATTTTGTAGTTGTAAATAATATAAGAGTTATTCAATAAATAGATACATATTTTTTTAGTATTCTATTTATTTTTATTAAATCTAACAAAAAATATCTATTTTAAAAATATAGCTATATACATACGTATATGTGTATAAGAATGAAAACAATTCTCGATGAGAGCACGTATGTGAAATCCACGTGGAATCCAAGTGTTTTAAGTGGGTTAAAAATTTATTCACATAATATCCATCTGAATGCAACGTTGAAAAATCGAAATAAATTTTCCTCAAAATTTCAACGTAGATTCTACGTAGGCACTTCCATATAGATTTCAATACATATAATCCACGTGGAATTATTGATGATATTTAACATGAATAAAAATAGGAAATAGTAATGTGGAATTCACGTGGATAAATTCATGTCGATTTTCACTCTATGTAATCCATGTAGAACACCTCTCACAGAAACTATCTCATATTAGGCATCTATCTCTTAGTAGGGAGGTTTTCTTTAATTGTCTATGTAAATTGTTTATATTTTATTAAATCTATTAAATTATAACATTTTTATTATATTTATACAATTATTAGTATGCTGGTTGTAAGTTATATGGACAATAAGTAACACATTTATCAACTAAAGAAATAGCGCAGCACGTAATCACACTACAGGCTCCCGACTCTGATTCCTAACTTCCGATTCAAAGTCGATCGAATAGAGTGATTTCTATTCTCGAGTCGGCAGTCAGAGTCGGCTGCTGTCTTGCTGTGCTTAGTAGAATGATAGTCGGAAGTCCGAGTCAGAAGTCGAGTCAGAGTCGGGAGTCTGTAGTGTGATTACTGCTTTACGCAAGAGACTCATAATTCAGAGATCCCGGGTTCGAATCCTACTACTAAAGTAAACATATTTTTCAAAACCCCAATTTAAATAGCTAATTTCAGACAAAATCGCTGTAGACATCTTGTATGAAGCAACTTTATATTAAAATAGAAATAAAATTTTTTAGTTTTAAATATAAATAATTTTTAGGCGGAGATATATATATATATATATATTACGAGCAATCTTGTAGGAAAAATCGATTAGAAATATCGATTCGATTTCCACATGGATTCTAACACCGTTTTTGAGTGCACTGTCACTCGATTGTTCACGTAGAATCCACGTAACAATCTACGTTGAATCCATATCGAATCTACGTACACGTTCTCATCGGGTCTGTTCTCAATAGAAACATATCTGTCTTATAAAATTTGTAAAATGTGAAAATGAATATGTGAAAGTAAAGTATGATAATAAATGACAAAAAAAGATGTAATTAACGTGGTACCCAGTATACAAATAAATTAATACATAACTATTAGGTGTTAAATTTAATTCTTGCCGTTTTTCGTCTCCAAAATTGATTTGTTTCGAAGGGAAATACCTTAATCAAAGTATTATTAATAAAGTATTATTAATTAGTAATAAAGTAGAAAATGGAGGAAATTACTTTGATTAAGGTATTCATTCATCTTCCCTTCGAAACAAATCAATTTTGGAGACGAAAAATGGCAGGAATTAAGTTTAACACCTAATAATTAAAGGAAAAGAGGCAAATAGAAATAAATAAGACAACAAAAATTTATATATATATCTTCAATTAACATGGCTCACAGTCAGTTTCAATATGCAAGAAAATCTAATAATGCGTTGCAATATTTTCAGAGTGTTTCCACTCTCATAATAAAATATTAGCAGCTAAAAAATTATTTTGCGATTAGGTCTATGTATTTTAAACATATGCAAAATTTCAGATTATTTTGGATTTTACACTGATCGAACTTTCTTTGTTCATAATTTGAAAAAAAGTGAATAAGATTATTAATCTACAGATATTCGACTATTGTTAGAACTAGGATTATAAAACATCAACTATTTTCTCAATCGTGTTAAGACATAAAAATTGTATTTACTAAATTGCTATAAAAATCAACAGTGTTACGTTAAGAATAAAATTTAAAAAATTAATATTTTAATTTCACTAATTTTAACTATAACGGAACATATTTCGAATGTAGTGGTCAGCCAACCACACCCGCCAAATGAACCCACATGAACTTTAAGTGATTCGGTTAACTGTAAATGCTTATAATTAAAAAGTTATTATAGCCTCTACATCTTGGTATGATTTTCATCTCAAAATGCGATCTCAGGAATCTATCCTTATGCGTTGTTACGGTCTTTATACAATACTATACATGCAACGTATAAATAAAAGAGTACAGTAATAGAATTGGAACGGAATTTAGACATACAAAAAAGATACGTACAAAAATTGAGATGGATAAATACTTTTGAGCAATAGTGTAGAAGTCCTTTCTTCAACCGAATCCTTTCTTCAATTCGAAGAACTCGTTTATTTCTCGCTATTCTCTGGTAACTGCTCAGGCTTCTTTGAAAGTTTCCACTACTTCAATGAGTGCATTAAGTACTACTACCGCTCACTGAGCGCTCAGTGAGCTCTTGCATCTGATTGGCATATTCCGTTAGAACTAAAAATACAGATATAAGAGCTCACTGAGCGTTCAGTGAGCGGTTGTGGTACTGAATGCACCCAATGGTTTCTTGCGATGCTATCGTTATTTGTCCCGAAACTCGGTTTACTAATTATGTTTCACTAGGAATATACAAGTCAAGTACCAAATAGAACTTCTATCTCCTCTTCTCCTCCTCTTTCCTCTCTCTTCTCAAATACCTAATTTTATACTGAATTTTGTTACCGCGTTTTTTTGGAATCTTTATCTCTAACTTTCTATAAAATATGCATGAGGGTTCGCAATGTTATCTCATAAAAAAACTTTTGCAAATCAATATCGGGTAACGATAACTCGTTATCGTTACCCGATATTGATTTGTAAAAGTAATTCATTACCTCGTTATCGTTACTCAAAATGTAACGAGTTGTTACTTTTTTTCTTGACACTAATAAAATATTATAGCGTTTTTTATTGGCAAAACTTGTGCTTATTTATTGTTAGTGCACATTAAAGCCGTTGTACGCAATTCTAATCTAAATGTAAAAATAAGATATCTGAAATGATATAATGCCTAAATTATATTTTATCAAATAGCATAATAAAAAATGTATTGAGGATTTCGCGGTTGAACTCGTTTCTATATTTTTATTAACTTAAAATAATTATTGACTCAGTTATGAAACTCTGCATTTTAGTCTTGACTTTTCAAGTTGATACATCTAGTTTTCCAATTTCTGTATCTGTGGATTGAAATATTGTTAACACAGGTAATTTATTAGAATTTCCAGCGTTATATAAAATAATTTACTTGGTTTGACTCTTTATTTTTATTTTTAAATATAACAGAATTTGGTAATCGTGTGTTCAATATTTTACATCGCGGAACATTTTTACGTACCTTGATGAATTTCCTTTCACTTGGTGAATACTTCTCGGGATATACGAAGAATAAACCTTGCCGAAGAATTACACTTTTTGTATAAAGAAAGAACTGATAACATCACGAACAATAGTAGGGTAGTTACTAAATAATTATAGAATTGTATTATATTGCGACTTTTTAATTGATATTAATTTAATTCACTTTGTATACGGAATTCGTAATTATTGTTTACTGAGGATGGTCTGATTTAAGACCGAAACGTCTAAAAATTTTTGTAAATTTTGAATAATATATAATTTTCGCTATCAATAACAAGCGTTAGTGGTTTATTGCTTTTATTGTTATATTGTTTTGAATATTAACCACGTACTGACCGAATTTGTTGCATAAATCTTTACGTCGATTTTACAGCGGCTTTATAGTGAACTGAATGCGCATTAATTCTGTCAATAAAAAACGCTATTATGTGCAAATTCTTGTGGTAATTGTAAAAAAGATGTTAGAATTCTATTTTTTAGTAGAGGAATAAAATTCAAAACTGATGAATATGTAAAGAAGCCACGCTTGATATTCGTGCTGTATATTATTTATATATTTACAATAGAATAACAATTATGCAAACAGCAAACGTTTCGAATTTTTCACATCAGATCCTCTTTAGATTTAATAAAACGTAACGCAACTATTTTACAATTCAAATTCTTCTTGAGATTGAAACGAGATTACTACGCTTCGCACATTTACAAACGTCCAACTAAATTAATTCATAATCGCTTGTGGAGAACTTACTGTATGTCAATGTAGTAACAGCATGAAGTTTAAAATGCTACGCTTGAACATTCCATAATCATGTTATTTTCTGTGACTCGGATGCATAGAATTTTTTATTCCATGATTAACCCTTACCGTACCATCTACAATTTGGTACCTCATCCATACCATCAAGGGTCACTTCAAATCTCTTCGTTTTTTCACCTCTTCAAAATAATTAAAAAAAAATCTTTAAAAATTTACCAACATACTTTCAACTTTCTAGAATAAATATTGACTCTTTATTTTGGAAAATAAATAAAATGTAGTATATTTTATAAAATTACCGAAAGACTCAAAGAAACTTGCACGAACAGAAATCGCTCGGTCACTAGTTACCCATATTACGGCAAGAGTTAATAGAATATATCAATAGAATTAAGTGATTCACTTAATATAATGTGCACATGTTTTCATAGAAATGAAAAAAAAATTTATACATTAAAGAGTCCAATATAAAAACATTAACAAAATTGACATTTAATTATTATATTTCATGGAAAGTCCAATAGATCTAAAGAAATTAGGTTCTGTAAAAATATAATGGATACCTACTTTATCATCATATTCAAATAGTCACATCATACACTCTAAATTTTTGGGAGTGAAATTTCACTCCAAGAAAAATGATAGTTGCGCCAATCCGACAAGGAGTGAACTTCACTTCACTCCTCCAGGAGTAAATTTCTTAACCTAATCTAAAAAATCAACTTTAATGATTAATATCTCGTTTCGCGAGACAGAGCGACGCTTTCTTCTGCCATATTCGTTCATTTTGTGCAAAAACAGTCGAACGAGCCTAATAATTTTTAGATTAGACGTAAGAAGGCTAAACTTAATATTTATCAAAGTGAAGTTTCAGTCTCTCCTTTCAGAGTATTCACTCTCCACATAGATTGAAAATTGACTCCCATTTGGAGTGATTTTTCACTCTCTAAGAGTGAAAATTTCACTCCTGTCGGACTGGCGCAACTATCACTTTTTGTGATAGTTTGGGAGTGAAATTTCACTCCCAAAAATTTAGAGTGTAATGTCTCTTTTTATTTAAACAATTTTTTCCCATTTTAAAAACTGTCTTAAGGGGATCCTAAAGTCGTCTGTATTATCGATTAATGCTTGGTTTATGCTTCGGCCTTACCCAAAAATCCTAAAATTAAGCCAATGGAATACAGATTTCAATTAGAACCAATTAGGACTGACAGCCCTATTGGTTGAATTTTAGGATTTTAGAGTTAAGGCGATGCTAAAGCCCCCCTGTTTTACCACATTCCTATTCGGTGGGATTTCTCCGTATTGG